GTAGATAAGTTGTAAGGGAGATCCCTTGTCGTCAACTGGACTAAGTTCATGGGTTTGAAGTTTGCTAGGTAGGGGACTGTGTATCATTCGACTGGATACGACCTAACAACCCCCAGCTCATTCATATTCTTCTAGAGTTTTAAAGCATCGAGCTGACTTTGGAACTCGTCGAGCCTTTTGTCTCAGGAGTTGCTGTCAGAACGTGGCATTCCTTCTGAGAACTTGGATGAATAATCAAAGGATGACCCGGGTTTATCTTCCCCTTCTCTCATTTGAGGGAGAGTAGGTTCCCGCTCTTTATTCTTTGTGGAGGACTTTGGGGGAGCCCGCAGGATCCTCCTCTTCTTCTTCTTCTTCTTTTCCAGAAGCTTTTCGAGCATCTCTTTCATAGTGTTGATTGTTGCTTGCTGCATGGCAATCACAGCTTGTTGCTCTTCCAATCTTCTGGCCACTTCATCAGGGACTTCAACCATATGCACTTTTGCATGCTCGCCTTGGATCGAGCTTGACGCCTGAGATGTTGCTACTGCTGAGCAATCATCCTCATCATTATCAAAAACAGATGCTAGTCGCTTGTAATCAAGCGGTATAGCAACCCTCTTTTTAGTCCGGGTATGCTGGTAGACACTTTCAGTTTCAATGGAGATGCCTTTCAGTCCCGGCAAAAAGTCAGTGTTAGCAGAGTCTGAATTTTTTGCCTTGGACTTCCCTGTCACGTTGATAGTTGCAGCTGGGAGATCCAAGTCATCAGAAGCTCGTATCCTCTGATGATTGCGTCTTCGATGAGGAGGTATTGTCTTTGCTGGTTGCTAAGAGAGCCTTTCGAACATTGATGGTTTTGACATTTTGGTACATTGGCAATCAGCGAGTACTGTTGTAATAAGCCTCTCGTAGTGGTATTGAGGAGTGGCCTCGTGAATAGTGTGTTTGTGAGTCAACCGCTTTCTAAGATCCCCAGTAGGTTGATGCATACAACCCCCAGCGTCAGAAGGACCAGACGAGTGATTATGCAATGAATGCTCAAAAGAACACTTGGAGGAACACTTGGAAAAATCACCAAGTGTTGGAATCCGGTGAGCTTGCCGTGAGAGGCGAGGCTGCCTTGTCCGGTGGGGTTCGCTTGTTTGGTGAACTTGCGTCTATTGGCAAGGTTCAGACTTTTGCTCTTTCAGGCAAGGTTCGCCTATTTGGCGAACTGCTACATTACATTTTTTGGCGACGGTCATTTTGCAGGCGAGATTGGGCCGTCAGGCAAGCCTGGTGATTTGCCAGCTGATTTAAGCTCACCTGATTGGGAAGGTTCGCCTGATTAGTGACCTTCACCAACAATACGAAGTTCGCCTGATCTGCTTACTTCGCCAGATTTGTGCAGTTCACCAGGTTTATACAGTTCGCTAATCTGCTCAATTCGTTAGAATTGGGAACTTTGTGTTGTAGTTCACCGGAACTAGGAACTTCACGTTTGTTATTGGCATTATTTTTCAGGTCTGAATACTAATTTTGGCCATCATTAGAGATTAGGGCACGTGCCTCGTGGCGAGCACGGGCTTGTTGTCACCTCTACTTGGCCCTCTTTGAGAGAGGAGCATTCATGTTGACGGTGAAGGCGTGATCCGCGCCGACATGAATTATGGTCTCCTCAGAAACAGGAGTTTGTGTAGATTTCTTGACAACCCATTGAGCAACTCCTTGGTTTGCATTCTTGGCCTTTTGGTCGGCCTCAACCACCTTGGGAGGAATGGAACCCCTAGTGTTCGCTCGGGTAAAGCTCTCAAGCGCGATAGCCTTAGCTGATTGGGGCTGGGTCACACGCACAACCTTGTGGCACTTACGTGACGTCCTTCTGCCAGAAGAAGCCGAAGATAAATACTCTTCGTACTTAGCTTGATCGAACTCTTTGATGAGGGACTCAACGGTCGTACCAACAGAAACCTCGTCAAATTGCGTCTCCACCATCTCGTCTGAAAGAATGGATCATCCCACTGTGGTCGCCATCTTCTATAGGTCGTAAAAAAATTGACTTCAAATTTGTATTAATTGAATTGTTTGTTACAAATTGAAAATCACTTTTACACAGAAGTAGAGAGAATTAATTTGATCTCTCCTTATTTAACGTGGGATCTACGAGGCGATAGGATGCTTCACTTGATGCTTGAGTTGAGTTTGCTTCCCTTTGATAATTTGAACAAGGTTACGAACAAACTTCAGCGCGTGGTAGAAGTTTGATTGGACGAGTTCGAACACCCGAGCTTGGATTTGAAGGCTAAGTGCAAAAAGGGTCTTAATGCTTTGTTTTCAAAAGTCCAGAAGTCGTTATCCAAAAGTCCTTTTTTCTATAGCCATTCATGGCTTTTTATAGAGAGGAATGGCCTGTAACCACCTCCTAAAACATGGGGAATTGGGTGCAACCGCTCCTACATTTCAAGCTGACTCGGTCAGGCAGCTCAGGCGGGCTTGGCAAGCTTGCAGGCGAGGTTGGCGAGCTAAGCATTCAGGCGAGCTTAGTGAGCTTGCAAGCGAGGTTGGCGTTCAGGCAAGCTCAACTCATAGCTCACCTAAGTTAAGCGTTCAGGCGAGCTCAACTCATAGCTCGTCTAAGTTAAGCGTTCAGGCAAGCTTAACTAAAGTTGGCAAACTTGGTTCGGCATGAATCGTTCAGGCGAAGCTAAATTATCAGGCAAACTTAGCGCTACTGGCAAAGTCAAGTTATTCAGGCGAACTTGGATCGGCATGAATCATTCATACGAAGCAAAATTATCAAGCAAACTTAGCTCTGCTGGCGAAGTCAAGTTATTCAAGCGAACTTGACTTCGTGTGTAGAGTCAAGCGAACTTGCTCATGTGCACTTGGTTGTTCAGGCGAACAAGCGATTTGGCTTTGTTCATGTGACCTTAAACATTGCAGGCGAACTTCAGCCTTGCAAGCGAACTTGATAGGGATAAAGGCAATTTTATTTGCCTACACACCATTAGTATCTCCCAATTGTCTAGCAAAGAACCCAATAGCAATAAGGCTTGTTACTCATCATCGATAGTCATCTTCATAGTGGCAAATTGATTAATCAAACTTTTAAATTCATTCAAGTGCTCTGCTACGTTTCTTCCTTCTTTGAACTTTAAGTTTACCAACTGCCTCATAATAAACTCCTTATTCCCCACGGTCTTTTACTCGTAGAGATCCTCAAGCTTCTTTCAAAGAGACTTCGCATTAGTCTCACTCAATACATGATGAAAGACATTAACATTAATTCATATCCGAATGTAATGATCACCTTTCTGTGTTGTTTCTCTCATCCTTTATCAGACATTTTTTCTAGTTTGGCTTCATCTCCCTCAATAAGGTCATGCAAATCTTTACAATATAGAATATCTTCAATCTTGGACTTTCATACTTTGGAATCATTGAATTTTATCATTGTACCAAAACTCTCCATCTTTTCCATCCCAACGCATGCCTCAAACTAAGGCTCTAATACCACTTGTTAGGAATATTGAGGAGATTTATCTGCGGAATTAAACACTAAACAACTAACGACACCACTAAAAATACCACACGCATACAAACACCAAGATTTAACGTGGTTAGACAAATCGTGCCTATGTCCACAGGGCAATCCAGAGAGCAATAATCAACTATCAATTAAGGGTAGAATCCTTCAAAGTTATACCCAAACTTGAGAATTAAATCACAAGAAAAAAATATAGTGTTACCTCTAGAGCACCAAAACACTAAAGCCCGTCTCAACATAAATCTCCAATACATGCGAAGAAACCAACACCGTATCCATAATGGCGTCGTCCTTTTGAAGATAACGATGTTTGAATCACTACAATCGGAAAACCGAGCTATCCGGAATCTCAATGTTTTTTTCTCTTTTTCTCTCTCTCCACCTTGAAAACAACATAGTACAGTTAGTTTTTGCTCTTTGTTTTCGGGTAAAAAAATCACTACAAGGTTCTCATGTGAA